ATTAACATATTAACCATTGGATTAAACTTTGTTTTATAATTCAGATGGCTCGGAATTGGTATCGGTGAAGGGATGTCTGGATATTTGATGGTAAGTATTATTTAATAACATCATATTTAATGAATGATCGCTTATCAGTCAATTCATTCATAGGTAGCTTGGCTCAATAACGATGGTACAGTCACTCTTTCACAACGTTCAGGTGGTATGCCCGATGAACCCAAAGCGACAAATTACCAAAGCGATCTACAATTGGTACCAAACAAAACAAGTGGACTTATCAATAATAGATTAGTGATATATTTTAGACGCCTTCAAACAGTTAGGGATAGCATTATAAATGAAACTCAAAATTTTGCATGGGCCTACTGCACTACTCGACCGAGTGGTAATTATCCAAATTCGACCATTACAAAACATACGTACAGGGATAATGTGGCTTTAAATCTGGTAAATTCGGGTGTGGAGACCTCATCGAATTCATCTGATACCTATATTAAATTGATAATTTCTCATGGTAGGGTTCTTATTATAAGAATTTTTGAAGGAAATGAGTATAAGTTGCATAGGATTTAACCGTGGTTTCTTGTTAATTATGCGTAGCTATTATAATGTTTTTGGCCTGGATGGTATTTTTACCAGCTGCTGTGTTTGTAGCCAGATTTGCAAGGTGAGTAATTGGCTATTCATCATGTTTAGTTCTTTAATTACTTATTTAAGAATTATCATGCTTTGTTTTTTTAAGAAACCTGTCATTTTGGGTCCGATTGCATTGGGGTATTCAAATTTTCCTTGTAGTCCCTCTTGTTATTGCTGGCAGTGCAATTGTTTATGTTGCCGTAGGAGGTTACCAAACTAGTGATCCTCACAAGGTACTTTGTCATAAATGTTCTAAAATTTGGTCAATAATCATAATATGTATATAACGATAATACTATTATCATTGTTAATTATAATTTGTAATATCACAGATTCTTGGTTTGGTTCTTTTTATTTGCTTGTTCGCTCAAATAACTATTGGTATAATTCACCACAAATTGTATGACCCTTATCGAAAATACACCCCTTGGTGGACTCATCTTCATAGGTAAATAATTGTAATATCAATTTTTTCTCACTTCAGTTATTTATTCTTTACCATTGCTTCCTTTTTGTTATGATTCATAGATGGTTAGGTCGCGCAATTGTGGTCTTGGCAATATTTCAAGTTCCACTGGGTTTATCACTTTATGGAGCTCAAATGTCGATATTCTATATTTACTATGCCTATGTTTCCATTGCCATAATTATATTTTTAATATTGTCCGTTCGTTTATGTTACGTTAATGTTAGGAGAGATAGTAGAGATGAATTTAGAAGAATGGATAACTCCGATGACTAATGTTTAATTAGCGCTACTATGTTTATAGTATAGAAATTTTCACAGATTTAGGCAATTATTTTACTTTTTTTAAAGATGTAATTAATTACATACGTACATATA